AAAGAAAGCTGCGCAACCATGCCGCATTGACCGAATTTGACCCTGTTTCGCCACCTCCTTTGCGTTTTTTTTCACCCTGTTACAACTGAAATTTGTGCCCGATTCCTGGGTATGACGACGACGGTGATTTCTAAGTGGACTGTTGAGGCCCGACTGCCGCTGGGTATACGAATAATTTTCGTCAACTGCTGGTTGGGTATACAAATAATTTAGCCGTCCACCTCGGTTCCGGGTATGCACATAATATTAATTTTATTTATTTATTTATTCATTTATTTATTTACTTATTTTGGACTGTTTCTCGATTTATTCTTGAAAGATAGGAGCATTAATTATAATCACAAAACAGACAGTGTGATTGGTGTCATCCTTGCGCAGGGGCCATGCTAATCTTTTTTTCTCTGTATCATTCCAATTTTAAGGAATGTCCCAAAGGACATGCACATAATTTTGTCCAGGAGCGTCCTTTGGGACACCCGTCAAAATCGGCTGGAACCTGGAACCACCAGTACGTTTCCAAACCATTTTTTTTTTCTCCTCTGACCCGGCTGTGGCCACCGCTGCGTCGCGCCGGATACACCAGCTTCTGATTTTTTTGCCTGGAGAACATCCAGGCAGGACAAGTCCATGGCACGACTCGTTTTGCCTATAGATGTTTTCCAGGCAAAAAAAACAGAGGCAGCTGCATCCCCCACGACGCGGCGTGTAGATAGCTGCTGGCTGCGAAACATACTGGTGGTTTAAGCAGTACAATTGTTTTACGCAGGCCGCAGGGGCCATCCATGCTACTCTTCTGTGTATCGTTTCAATTTTAACCATTCCAATTATAATTGTTGGGTATAACAACAATTTGGCAGTAGCTAACTAGGTCGACCACCTTTTTTTCGGAAAGGGGGACGGCCTTGAGATGTGATATTTGATATTTGAACTGACCAGGCTCAGGTAAATCCAGAGTTACCTCTGATTGCATTGCGATTCGAACTTGGTCTGTGTTTCAACAATTCATGGGTGTACCGACTGAGCTAGTATTGTGTTGCAAATCAATCATCAACAGAGCAGTCGAATGGATAAAGTCAAAGATCAAGTACGTGGACAAAGTCAAAGACCAAGTACGTGGACAAAGTCGATGACCAAGTCCGTGGACAAAGTCGAAGACCAGGTACAGATTGACAAACTACAGAACGTAACTTCAAATAGTACAAGATACAGGTAAGGAGGCCCCAACACCACGTTTCGATGGCAGCCAACGCCGTCATCCTCAGGGGGGTTCCACCAAACTTTCTCCGATACTTCACCACCGATACTTCCACTCACCCACTTCCGCTCCCGTTCGTACCAACATTCCAAGAGCATTAGTACTTGCGGGAAACGTTCGACCTGTAAAGAGGGCTACCTACTAACATATTAGGTAGTTTTTTCACAACTCGGATGCAATTAATAGGGTCGGGTCCAGTACCTGATGGGACCAGGTTACTTCCCTTGTCCCAATGTCTGTTCCAGAGAGAAACCAACAGCAATTGCTAAACTTAGGAAGTCAGGACCGATCAACAGGAAACAGAACAACCCTAAGCCTACTTCAAATCAAAACCGGAATCGACAAAGTCAAGAGTAACAAAGCAGACACCACTTATCCGTAGGCACTTGCCCGACAACTGTTCAAAAGGAACTGCAACATACCACTGACAGTCCTTTAAACACACACACACATACACACACACACACACACACACACACACACACACACACACAATACTACAGGGGGTGGTATAAGCATCCTCGCTCAGTACCGGCTCCAGTTGCTCCAATCGATTAGTGGGGAGCCTGCACCTGCTGGAAACCGGATCCAGCGTCCCTTTGAAGTTTAAATACAATTATAAGAATGATTGGCAGGGCTTAATGACAGTCCTATGGACTTGACATAACCCAGTGCTAACAAGCAAACAAAAGAACGCTGCCCGATGTACCTAGCACACCCGGTCTTCATCTCCTGAGGACAACCCCCTGTCTGAAAGAACCCTGCCCTTCATACAGAGACTCTTGAGAGCCTTGACTCTTGAGAGCCTTCATACAGGGCCCTAACACATCTCAATCTGAGCGTAGAAGGGTTAAGACTCTTGAGAGCCTTGAAAAAAAGAGAAGAGAAAAAAAAAAAGAGACTCTTGAGAGCCTTGGCGGTGTGAAGTCGAGGCGCTGACAGGAGGAAGTTGTTTTCGCCATGATATTAAAACTCATGAGTCATGACATCTTCTTCTTCATTTGTTGATTCCATGATTTCTCTGATGTACCTGACACACCCCGCCTTCATCTCCTGAGGGCAACCCTGACCGAGGCAGAGTACCTCATTGCCTGTTACATCTTCGACGCCACACGGGTCCTACCGGACCCGACTTAGGGCTAGAGGGACACATTAGGGCCTAAAGGCCCGACCTTGGGGGTACTACAGGCCGTAAAGGCC